GACTAATAATTGACGGCTGTACTCGCAACTAGTATCGGATTGTCGATGCCACAGTAAAGATCAAAGGACTGTACGCACGCGCTATGTTCGAGCTGTCTCTTATACACATCTTTGTTTATTTTTCAATACAGTATATACATTTATAACTTTATTTTTAAGAAAAATTAAAAGTGGGACGATCCCACGAAAAAGAAAAAAAACCCCTTTTTTTTAATTCTTTAATCTGAAATGCTCACAAGCCCGTATTCAGGAGTTCCGCAATCCAATAGGCTGGTGGTATATTGATTGAATATAGTCTGGTGTTGCCCAAAAACTACGTTTACAATTAGGCCTATTTTGTCATACTTGGTATTGAACTTAATGCACTAGAACGTAAAAACGTAAATTTTTCCCCTTTTGCGGCCCCCTAGCTTCAGCCTAGTTGCTCGCTTCACTCACAAATAACGCACCCCGCGAATTCTGAAAGCTTCGCTAAATTGCTCCGAGTTCAGCTTTCCCCCTGCGTTTTCGTTTCGACCCCCCCTTAGATTTTTCACCGTACGCCCCTGCTAATCAAGTGTATATTGAAATACATTTAACAAAAATGAATCAGTTTAAAACGAAACGTAAAATAATGTGTATCCGATCCACATGATCATGCGCAAGCAAAACCATACTGTGGCTATGAAAGATGTCCAAACAAGCGACCTCTTGTAAAACAAGTAAACCTCGAGAAAAAAAAAACAAAGGAGAAAAATATTTCTTGTCGGTTGGCCTGAAACCGTGACGGAGCCAACAATGTCTAGCTATGTACCGGCTTTAAAGCGATGGCTAGACCTAAGCCTGTTTTAATTTATTGTCCAATGTAACGTAAGGTAATGAATATGATTGTTGATTTAAGCAACCCAATGGCGTATATAGCAAGGGGAGGGGGGGGCAAATTAATTAATTAATTAGCAAATTTCTTTGAAAAAATTTCGTAGGCATAGGGCCTAGGCCTAGCTAGGTATACAGTAATTTCATTTTACAGTAATTTGGAACGATATCAGAAGTCTGGGTGGTGGCAGTGGCCTACTAGGACTACAATTTGAAGCTATCTTGGGTCCGATTGTCCACACCAGTTGGGCCCAATCGTCTGTCACACGAAGTTTTCATTACGATGATCAAGAACGTATACTATCTAGGCCCTAGGCTAGTCTTAGATTGCTGCCGTCACTCTGCTATGTGTACTACTACCGCATAACAAAAATTCTTAAATTTTACACACATTATTAAAATGTATTAGACGATAACACGATATCACTGACTGAACGACCTACCACCCTCGCTCGCATTGCAGTAACTACTGCACTGAACTAGGCCTCATGTTTTTGTGGAAAGTTAGATAGTCGTTGTACCCGACAGTCGGCTGCCTTTATATCTTCACTTGTCTTCAATTTGCATTCAAAGGGTACATTGCTGCATAGCCAACTGTCAGGGATATGGTACCTTCATATGACTACTCATACAACAGAAAAAAATGTCGCATGGATTTAGTGAAAAATGGAGATCTAAATGAAAAAACCATGTATTTCAGCAAGTATTAAAACCTTTTTGTTTCATTTTAGGCCTTCTTCAAAATACCTATGCCACAGCAGTTGATTTTTTTTGCCATAAAACCAAAATAGTTTCATCCATGCCGACTTGCCGATCGGTTAGCGTGAGCCCTGACTGAACTCTGCAGAAACTTCACATCGAACATCGCATCGCGAGGTAAAACAAAATGTTGGAAAACTTTTTCTTTGACGCATGCGCATTTGCATAAATGTCTAAACACACACACACACACTACACACAATAAAAAACAAAGGAAAATGAAGAGTGATTACAATAGTTCCTATTGCATTACATGCATAGCAACTAAAAATAAAAAGTAGAGGTAAAATTTGAGCTGCCAAAAAGCATACAGGACCATATTTCTTTCCTTATTTTTTTTAAAATTTTTTTTTATTTTTTAATTTTTTTAAAATTTTTTTTTTAAATTTTTTTAAATTTTTTTATTTTTTTCAATTTCTCTGTCTTAAAATATTGTCAATGTCATTATTAAAATGCAATCGAAAACAGGGCAAGCCCATGTTACCTTCTATTTTGGAAGATCATGTTGATTGGCATATCTATCAGTCTTAAAATGGGTAGGGGGTCTGATGGGGAGGGCACAGAGGTGAAAAGGTGAGGGGTACTCAATGACTAAGTGAGGGGGAGCTAGCTTGCAACAGGTGCGTGAACCCCAGTTCCTCACATCCCCCCTCTAAACAGATAGATATGCCTCTTGTTGCTTACCTTCTTCAGACCCTGCAAAAATGTTTCATGAACTTGAGCGGCACTGGCTGATGGAGGAGTGGGCGGCACTGAGCTACAAACACCAAACACACTCAACACGAACACAACAGCTCCAGGAATCATGTACACAAGAAGCTAGAAAAATATAAATCAACAGTAAATTACTATTAAATAAATAAATCAGTATGGAATGTGCAGTATTTCTGGTCGCTTGACAGCCAATATTAATTTATCTGTCTCCCTACTTCCATCATTTTTTCTTTTCATACCATTTCATAACAGTGGTGGATCGAGAAAATTGAAATAGTGGGGGCCCAGGGATGGACTATCACAGATGGAAAGACTAGACTACATCAGCTTCATAATAATTGGGGTTGAGATGGTGGTTGCGTAAGAAATTTATAATATAAAAAAGTTTTAAAAAACTAAATAAAAGTTTAAACAAACCATTAATGGGATGTCCTTGTAATGCTTGACAATTAACGGTGACAAAATATTGGCACCGAGCAGCCCAAGCGGATTCAGCATTGTTGCCATCATATTTGCGACGGCTCGTTGGTCGCCAGCAAACCACAAAGCAGCTAGCTTTGTAGGTGCAAACATCAGGAATGGCTGCCCGATGGCACAAAAAGACTGCCCGACAAATGTGATGATAAAGGGAATGTGTTGATCCGTTGGTATGAAATCAAAGGTGCTTAAATAGCGGACTCCTAGCCCGAGAAAGTTGGTAGTTGCTCCTATAATAATCTGAAATTTAAAAACAAAATAATTAGGACTGTGCAAAATTAATAGCATTATGCAGGCAAAATATATACTATAAAAACTAGTATTTTCAGTATATTTTCTACATGCTATAATTTTTAGCATATAAATAATTTTTAAAAAGTAAAACAACACATACAAATATTATAGTACTTACCCCTGATCTTAATCCAAATGTATCTAGAATATATATTGCCAAAAATCCAACTGGAAGACATACAATCATAAAAACTGTAGATAGCCAATCGATTTGCGATGACTTAACATCATAATACTCTGCAGCACGGTTAGCAACTGGACTAAAACTTAACCAAGACTGAAAAATAAATTTATTACTTGTTTAAGCTAATCAACCAATCAATTTATATATGTACCTGTACATAATTGAGATATTATTAATTTGTTCTGGGTAAACCACTTGACAGTTGATTTCGCTCACTTTTTGGTTATCTCTTGTTGTTTCTCATTGCGTCAGCCTGATTTTGTCTTTTGTATTGTTCTTGTTTTTTTTTTTGTAAACAAATGAAATGATATGATAACTGTAGATTTTTATTTTCACAGTTCACCTTTTAATCACAAAAACAGAAACATTTAATACTGTTAGATATTCATTTTCGTTTCATCTTTGAATCACAAAACAACAAGCATTTTAGCGAAAAAGTACTTAAGATGTGGGGGGGGGGGATCATCACAAAGTGAATTAAATTACCATCAAGTGACTCCTCAAAAAAAAAATAATTTGAAATTAAAAAAAAAGAAAATTTAAACAAAAACTGTAATTTATACATGAGTTAAAAATATTATTACATTGAGTCATTTTTACAGACTTTGTGTCTATATTCAATAGGTTATTTTTCATTGAGTTAATGAAAGATGTTAAGGGAAAAACCCCAAGAGAATCATTAACACTGTGGCAAGGTAGGTCATTTAATATCTGTAGAAAAGCATTGAATATAATGTGTGTGCATTGTATAACAAGTGTTAGTTCTGAAATAAAATAAGGTGATCAGTGTGGCTCATAAATTAAAACTTTTAATATTCTTAGCCTTAGGCCATAGAAAAAAAATTATTAGATTATTACTCTTTTTTTTTTTTAATCAATGAGGGAGGGCGGTTTTTTATCTTCTTTTTTTTTTTAAACCGGAACAATAGATTATTTAGCTTTTGTTTTTATCGATGAGGGAGGGACTGTTTATATTTGGTTAGTATAGTAAATATTGTATAAAAACTGGTTAAATTTTATAGTTTTTAAAAGAAAATGTATTTAAAGTCACAAAATTGCATTGTTTTTTTTTTATACTGTTGAAATAATTAATGCGACAAAATAATTTTTTTTATTCCCGCATCAATATTTCCCGAATTTTTGACGAGGACGGGAGTGATAATCTAATAATTTTTTCAATGTGCCCTTAGCAATATGAATAAAATCACAAAAACTCAAATCTACTTCCTAGGCTCGGCAAGCCTTGATAGAGTATGTAAAAAAAATTACAAATGAAAAAGTGCTTAATTAGATGTTGAGTACTCTCTCCCATTAATAGCAGCAAATAAATATTTAAAGTTAATCAACACAATATTACACCGATTATCAATTACTTGCCCTGTGCTTCTGTAAATTCTTTCTAATCTTGTTTTACTTTACTTATCTGCTTCTTAAGCAAAACTTGTCCTTTGCTCTCTCAGTTTTTACCCAATATCACCATTTGGTACCATCTCGTACATATTTTTTTACTGTTATGATGGGAACATCAGTAATCTTTTGTATTGTCTACTGTATATTATTTAATATCATAGGTATACAATAAATGTCACTCTTTCACAACCATTCATAGTACCATTTACAATTCTGTTAGAATACTCAATTAATATATAGTTCAGGCCTATAGGCAGTAGTACTTACCAATGCATTGGAAAAATTGAGGAGCCCAAGCACACCAACCATAAACCACCTTCGATTGTAAACTCTATATCCACCAAAATCTGAAGTAAGCCTATCCGAGTAATTGGCATTATTACCAAGTGCATCATCATCAAAACGAGGGTCCAATAACTTTGAAGTTTCTCTGGGGGCCCTTGGCCCTGACATAACGCTTTTTAAATTCACCCTAGACTGGGAACTGACCAAACTAGAGACCTCTCTGGTGTTTGTTACACTAGGCTAGTCCTATGTCTGACGAAAAAGGGGCGTACCGACTTTGCTGCCTGCCAGCAACAAGCTCACCACAGAAAGCAGTAAGCCTGACCTTGCGGCACTGACTGGGTGGGTTTTATTAAATTGATTACTTATCGTTTATATACGTCGGTTGAATGAATATTTACATCATGATATAATCGAATGTAACTTCTTCCAAACAAAAATAATATAGGCTAGGCCTAATAGGCTATATAGTATAATATCTTTCAGTCCGGGACAAACTCGTGATCAGGCCGTACCGCCCACATTCATCTTTCGTTATTTTTCACATGATATTCACCTAAGGCCTAACAAATATTTATTTAATTTATTTACAGTGCTTGTATTATCATATAATACTACCATTAGTTGTAATAAAAAATATTTATAACATTAAATATTATACTATATTTTTTTCTTTGCTTAAAAATCATTATTAATAAAAAAAAAAAACACCCGTTTCATTTCATTTATTTTTCTTTCAACTTTTAGTTTGAGGGCGTTTGTCCAACAACAACAACAAACGTGACTCTCGCGCGCAAGAAGAGCGGTTGCTGTGTTTTCGTTTTCCCTAAAAATGACAGTTTGTCATGTTTGTGATGCTGTTGATGACTTCCATGATGAAGACGGCTTGTATTATTGTAATGTCTGCAACACTCAATCTCAGGTAGTACTACCTCATGGCCCCTAAAAAACCAGGCCTTATCTTAGGCCCTTAGTAAGCTAGCTAGCTAGGCTTTCCTTAGGGCTAGTGGGGGCTAGGCGGAAGTAGGTCAACTCGGCCACAAATCAACTCGGCCACAAAAAGTTCGGCTACAGTCAACTCAGCCACAAGTCAACTCGGCCACAAGTTAACTCGGCCACAAGTTATTTATAATTAAAATGAAATGTAAATATTACTCAACTCTCAAAAGTGTTTGCATCCTTTTTCTTCAATATGATTGAAATGAAGTACACAGTATTGTATATTTTAGTAAAATTCTGATCATCGTCGTGAGATCGTTGTATTCATTTCTCAGCACTGTACTCTTATTCAACAGAGAAAACCCGCCACTTACAGAATGGAATAAAATCTGACAATAATGTAACATTAACAATTTAAGCAATCTTAATAATACATACCGGTATATTAATGTTTAATTTTTTTTTTTCACGCTAAAACACTGACATAAAGCATGAGTACATACTGTAGACCTAATCATAAAAAATTGAAATAGAAAAACCACATTATGATTTTTTTAAATTTTAAAAATTTATTTTGAATCTGACTAAAATCATATGAATGCACGATGGCATGCATTTCGATACTATTTTCTTTAGAACCACGCCCAAGAATTAGGCCTACGTTAAAATTAGGTGGGGCGCATAGCATCTAGTAGGCCTTTAATTATCCACAATAGGAACAATTGGTATTGTTGAGTGACAGACATTTCGCTTCAGTCCTTCATATTTGTTCGACCATTGGGGGCTATGTTTGAAACCCGTCAGTGACACGGATGCATCCGATGACGTGAATCCCCGGTGATATGTTGGTGACACTTCTTTTTCAAATATTTACTTTAATAATACTAATTAGTCATAATAACAATAATAAAGGTGATAACAACAACAATATTAATAGTAATATTTATTTTAACAATACTCAATAGTAATAATACTAATATGGTATTAATAACGATAATTTAAATATCTATTTTAATAATAATAATTAGTGATAATAATGATATTGAAGGTGATAACAGCAATAATAAATTAAAGATGTTTATTTTTATAATAATAGTAATACTAATTAGTAATAATAATAATGATGGTACTTATTAGACTAGGCCTACTTAGTAATAATAGGATAATAATATCGATAATAAAGGTGACAACAACAACAATAATATTAATAATAATATGAGAAAAAAATACCAATAAAACACCAATAACAATATTTTATAAATTACTATTATTAAAATAATAATACTAAGACTAATATATAATAATAATAATAATAATATGAATAAAAAAATCGAGAATTATTTATTATTTATCAGCAAAAATTTAAACATAACATAATGTTAATGCTGACTAATAATTAATATTAAAACTAATGGTAATAAAAACAACAATAATAACAGCAATAATAATAACAATAAGTATAGTAATACTTAAAAAATTAGTATTTTATACTTGATGAATTACTCCTTCAGAGTGTAGTAGTAGTACCAGTAAATGACTTGTGGCCGAGTTGACTGTGGCCGAGTTGGATCGAATTCGGCTAGGCGGCCTAGCTAGGCCCAGCCTGACACCACATGATGATGTCTGATTGCTGCTCACACAGACAGAGACAGGGCTCCGGTGGGCATTTGTCCTTCTATTCTGCTACTACTGCCGCCTAGGCTAGAGTAGTGGTAGTAGAGTACCTGTCTAGGATGCCTGGGCTAGGCCTAACATATCGAAGCTAGGCTTAATCCTGCCGTCTATCTAGGCCTTGGTCAGTACTAGATAGACATAAAATAGTATTGTATTTTTTTGTTTTGATTAATCCAAGTTAGGCCTTTTACTAGATTGGACCCACACTCACTTACTTTTGCACAGAGTGTGGATATATCTCAAAAACCAACTCAAATTTGCGCAAAATCACTGTAGATGCCGCGCGAGGATTTCTGTTTACTGCTGTTCATAGAGAGATTGGCAAAAAATGAGCGGAAATCAGCCCTTTTTTCCAAAAAGCGCAGACGGAATTCTAGGCCTATGTTTGCGCAGGGAATATATTCCCAAGCCTGGCTATAGACTACTAGGCTAAAATATAATATAAGAATGAATTATGAAGATTATTATAAAACATATATAAATTATAAGGGCTCAACAAAACATTAATTTAAATTATTGATACTGATGATATTTTATTAATTTATAAGCTAAATGTTATGTTAGTAATTACTATCTATTATTATTTTTTGATACAAGGAATTAGTAAACACTGTAGATTGTTGAGTCGAGTAGCACTGCTAACTACAGCCTTAACATCAGTGCTTGGTTCCAGCAGTTCCTCGTCAAGGGTTCGGTTGGTAGAACCAAGTCTTCTAGGATGAGGACTTAATATGAAGGTCCAGTGTGTACATCTGACTTGTGTGCACTTTAGAGAACCCATTGCATTTCTTGGAAGAGTAGGGGGTTACCCCAGTGTCATGGTTCATTTCAGCTCCTGTCGTTGTGGAATGATGTGAACATGTAGCTGCTATAAGCACCTCTTTACGGCTGCTAGGTATTCAAGGAACATACGCAATTTAGCTGCAAGTTATGGGTTATTCTTCTACCTTAATCTTCAACAATTTTACACAAATATGAGGTAGTTGATTAATGGAGCTGGCTTGACCCAAAAATAAAAATTCAGTCTTGCTATCTTAATGCATTACAGCACGTCGGAACAATATCCACTTCTATTATCGGAGAGTAGGATATAAGGGATAAAAAGAAAAATGAGAAATAGAGACTATTTCTCAAAGGAGATTACCATTTTCTTGATGACTTCTTAGTTACTAGGTAAATTCAGAGGTTGTAGATTGCATCTGCTAGAATGCTCTTGCATTTGTGTATGCTTTATACATTCCAGCGTCAGAGGTAGGCAGGGTAATTGTTTCACAAACCTGCCACATTCTTATCTTCTTATTTTGTTTATTGTTTTTAATCTCACTTACCAATGTCGTGAACTCTCATGATAAGATATTTTAATTCATATGGTCCCACAATTAATTTTTAAAAAAAACATTAATTAATCTGTTTTCCTGAACTGTTTGCAATGCAGATACAATCGTGCGTGATAAAGTGCGCCCTCTCTAATGAGATTAGCTGTTTCTTCGCAGACCTATCGCGAAATCAAACGTAAAAAATTCATCCCCGTTTATTTTTTTTTGTTTAACAAAAAAAAAATCGAATTTTGGTCGTATTTTACATTTTTCATGTTTAGGAATGTCTGAATTCAGTTAAACTAGCAATTTCGTATTATATTTTTTCTATATAACATATATAAAATTAAGATTTTTTTTAATTACTGAAATTTTTCCTGGAATGGAAATTAAATTAGATTTACTATGACAACTTAATTATTTTAATTTTTGTAATTAATTTGCAGAGCATGCAGGTTTTGGAACAAGAAGATCCTTACGCTGGTGCTAGTGGTGGCCGATTCAGTATGTCTCAGTCCATGCTCGCTGTTAAAGTGTCTGCGAAACCAAGGAAAGGTAGCCCACATTTGAAAGAGTTAAACAAGTTAAAAAATGATTTTCAAAAACCACACAAAAATCAGCATTGTCAATTGTAATTTTTTAACAGTATTTTAATAGTATGTGTGTTTTCTAATGTCTTAAGTTGTCTAAAACAGTGTTTTTACTTGGCAGTTGAAAAGACTGTTGTCTACTTTCTTAACCATGTTTTAACTATTATGGAATTATAGTCAGTTTTTGACTACACTATAGGAAATAGAAGCTGTGAAAAAATTGCCTGAAGCTTGCAGGGCAATTTTTAAAGGAAATAATGACTCCTAAGGCTTCTATTTTCCTGTGGTACTGTAAACATTAAAGGGATTAAAATTAAAATCTTAATAAATATTGAATTCAGTATTGTATCTGTATTTCTCTGCAGAGTTGAATGTTGAACTGGCAAAGACTAAGCCATGGTGGAGTTTTGAGGCTTTCCAGATTATTCTACGTGCTCAAGTTGACTTGTTGATTGCACAGGGGGTGTCCAAGCAATTGAGTGTAGGTTTTCATTTTTTTTCTGATTTCAAAAGTTCCTTTCTGAAACTAATTGTTTCATTATTCATATTAAAATATAGCCATTTTCATTGGTTTGATTTTCAAAAACTGTAATATTTTTTTTTGTGGTAAAGAATTAGCAATATGGAATTATT